TATGTATATATATATGTATATATGAATATATATGAATATATATATGAATATATATATGAATATATATATGTATATATGAATATATATGAATATATATATGAATATATATGAATATATATATATGTATATGTATATATGAATATATATGAATATATATGAATATATATGAATATATATAGATATATATAGATATATATAGATATATATAGAATATATATAGATATATATAGATATATATAGATATATATAGATATATATACAGATATATACATATATATACATATATATACATATATATACATATATATACATATATATACATATATATACATATATATATATATATATATATATATATATATATATATATATATATATATATATATATATATATATATATATATATATATATATATATATATATATATATATATATATATATATATATATATATACATATATAATATATATATATACATATACATATATAATATATATATATACATATACATATACATATATAATATATATATATACATATACATATACATATATAATATATATATATACATATACATATACATATATAATATATATATATACATATACATATACATATATAATATATATATATATACATATACATATACATATATAATATATATATATACATATACATATACATATATAATATATATATATATACATATACATATACATATATAATATATATATATACATATACATATACATATATAATATATATATATATATATACATATATATATATATATATATATATATATATATATATATATATATATATATATATATATATATATATATATATATATATATAATATAAATATATATATAAATATAAATATATATATAAATATAATATATAAATATAATATATAAATATAATATATAAATATAATATATAAATATAATGTATAAATATAATGTATAAATATAATATATATATAATATATATATAATATATATAATATATGTATAATTCATATATATACAAATATAATATATATAATATATGTATAATTTATATGTATACAAATATAATATATATAATATATATAATATATATAATATATATATATATATATATATATATATATAATATATACATAATATATACATAATATATACATAATATATAATATATATATAATATATATATATATATATTAATATATGTATATATGTATATATGTATATATGTATATATGTATATATGTATATATATATATATATATATATATATATATATATATATATATATATATATATATATATATATATATATATATATATATATATATATATTCATATATATATATACTATATGTATGTAATATAATATATATATATATATATATATATATATATATATATATATATATATATATTCATATATATATATACTATATGTATGTAATATAATATATATATATATATATATATATATATATATATATATATATATATATATATATATATATATATATATATATATATATATATATATTTATATATTTATATATTCATATATTTATATATATATATATATATATATATATGTTTAAATCTATATATATATCTATATATATATCTATATATATATCTATATATCTATATATCTATCTATCTATCTATCTATATATATATATATATATATATATATATATATATATATATATATATATATATATATATATATATATATATATATATATGTACACAGACACACACACACCTAAAATGTCCAAATATATATGTCCCAAATATTTGCAGATTAGTAAATGACCTCAGCAAGATTGCTCAAGGAGGCCAGCCCGGAGAATTTGGTTCCACGCCTCTTCAGGAACGCAGCATGAGGATCAAGGGTCTCGAGTGCCTTGTGTCAACCCTTAAGTGTATGGTTGAGTGGTCCAAAGACCTGTATGTCAACCCTAACACTTTGTCAAACCTCAGTAAGTAGTGAAAAGAAAGGAGAATTTCTTCTTAATGATATAGGGGTCTTTGGTAATATGGGATTAAGTTCTTGTATAATGAGGTTTGCATAATTTTTGCTTAATCTTTAGGCCAAGAAAAGAAGAAAGACGAGGAGCTGGAAGTGAACCATTCAGCCGAGGGTAATCGAACACCACTAGCTCGCCATGGCTCACACAACTCTATTAATTCCCTCCAGTCTTCTTCCACCAACACCACCACTTCCACTGTTGGAGTGGATAATCCAGAACAGTGCCAGTCCCTCAAACATCAGAAGGAGATCTGGGAACAAGGCATTGATATGTAAATATTTATATATAATCTTTTTTATCTTTAACCAGGCTTTATTTTATTGTTAGTCAAACATGAAAGTCATTTTGAAGATGAGTTTTATTTTGATCAGAAGTACAAGACAGTATGTGCTGTATCATTTGTATTAGGATTTTTATTACACTATTTTATATACATGAATTACATTTCCACACATTTAAAGTTCCCTTGAACTTGTAGGTTCAACAGAAAACCTCGTCGTGGCCTTGCCTTCCTGCAGGCCCAGGGGCTCTTAGGTCCATCTCCTGAAGACCTTGCCAAATTCTTCCATGATGATGACAGACTGGATAAGACCCAAGTTGGAGATTTTCTTGGTGATCCAGATCCAGTCAACAAAGAGGTTAGACATTACTTAGAAGGGTTTCTTTCTCTTTTTTTTCCCTCATTTCTTCAGGAGTAAGTTTTGATGTTCTGTTGTTGACAACCAGTTCTCAGGCATTCACTGCTTTTGTTGTGCTTCTAAGTAAGCCAACACTGATTGTCTGATATTGGTTAATTGTGATATAAGAGAATATAAGAATAAATAATACAAAAGCTTTTATAGGTAATTTTTAAAACTTTTTTTCCATCCATAGGTTATGTGTGCCTACATTGATCAAATGGATTTTCATGAGCGTGACTTTGTTCCTGCCTTAAGAATGTTTCTTGAAGGTTTCCGGTTACCTGGGGAAGCCCAAAAGATTGATAGACTGATGGAGAAATTTGCCTCCAGATATTGTGAATGCAATGCAAAGTAAGAAAGATTATAGTATTGATTATTTTTATGTGTTTCAATTTTTTGTTAGATTTTTTGGTGTTAGAAAGAACTTCAAAGGGAGCAATTCAAAAATGTTGATACTGTTAATTTAATTTAGTCCCTGTAGACTTACAAACTTTTTCATTTTTGTATCTCAACTGAAATATGATACGGATTCTTACTGTTATGAATACTTGGATGCAAGTATTTGGGTGAATCATATACTTGGGTGAATCATGTCATGTTTGATTAGGTGCTTTTTAGATTGCTGATATTTTTATTTTAAATGCCGTACTTATTTCTTTTTCTCTGCAGCCTTGGTTTGTTTGCAAGTGCAGACACAGCTTATGTGTTAGCATACTCCATCATCATGCTCACGACTGACCTGCACAGTACACAGGTCAAGGTTAGTGAATAAGGCTCTTCTCATGACATTAGATTTGGGATGATTTTGAAGGTGGTCCTATTTCATATTGGTTCCTCACAATAAGACCAACAGATGAACATATGTATATAGATAGAAAAATATTTTTTGCTATTTTCATGCAATGAAATTTTGTTTTATGTGATAACAGCAAAAGATGACCAAAGAGCAGTATATCAAGATGAACCGCGGCATCAATGACTCCAAGGATCTACCGGAAGAATATCTCTCCAGTATCTATGATGAAATTGCTGGGAATGAAATTAAGATGAAGGCTACATCCACCAAACTTGGAAAGCAAGGTGGGACGTATTTAAATTTCTTCTTCAAAGGAATAATTGATTATGGGAGAGAGATGTCTTTATGTGTCTAAGGAACTTGTAGATACAAAGAATTCTAACTGACTTTGAGCTTGAAAACCGTGAAGGAACTGCATTAGTGTAATACATTGTTTTGTGTTTAATGATTACGCATTTACAGCTGTTGCAAATGAGAAAAAGCGAAAGTTGCTTTTTAACCTGGAGATGGAAACAATATCAGGGACAGCCAAGTCACTTATGGAAGCAGCTTCTCACGTTGATGCCACCTTTACTCTTGCAACTCATGTAGAACATGTCCGCCCTATGTTTAAGGTAAAGAATTTGACTTTTAAGAAAGCAAAGAGTGAGTGGATGTAAATTTGTAGAAAAAGTATGAATAAGACTAGATATCTTCACTGTACATGTAATATACTTAAACGGTTTCAATCATATATTTGTCATTTATATATTTTGCACTGTGAAGATACTCATTCTTATTCATACCTTTTCTATATGTGTTGAAATGGTTGTTAACCTATTAAATCTGGGTGCCTTGTTGCCAAAATCTGGGCATTTGACTTCACTAAGTGGCAACTCTCCCAGGTGTGTGGCTTGTAGGCCTTTCCCTCACAAACACTCATATGTGGTGTGAAGACTCCTTGCCTCCCCTTTGCAATGTTATCTTTTTTTTGCTTTTTTCACCCATTTGATATTTTGTATCAAGATGGTAATAGAAAGTTCTCCTTGGGCAGACTCCATATCATCTCTCTAGGTAGTCCACAATTCTGTGCAATAACAACAGCAATAAGCAAGTTTTTTCTATTTGTCATTTTTTTATGTTATCATATTCAGTTTTCTATAACACACCCTGTGCTGCCAGTCACGATGTGCAGGAATAAGATCCTGAGCATGGAAATAGTGTCCTTCCTGGAGCTGGCACTTTTCCAGCCATGGCTTACAGGTGGTATATTCCACTCTCGTTAACCGGTTGAATTATTACAAGAGCCTCTTCCTAATTGCTCATTGAGTGTAATCTTCCTCCAAGAGCTTTGTGCATTCATGGTGTCACACTGGCCTTCAGCTGATATTTTTGTGATGGCACATTCCCATCACCTGGTCTGGGTGATTTAGCCAGATTTTTCTGACTGCATATTCCTGACCCCGGGCCCTCATCCATTTTTTTTCAAAACTTGACTGT